CCCATACAGAGATTAATTACTGAAAATAACAGATAAAATATAAAGTTTTTTCTTAAGAAACATTTGATAACTATCTGATCATTATAGGAAAAATAGACACAAGAAAAACACTGCTTTATAAACCTTAAGACTTGATAAAAATTGATATTTTCTGTATGAAAGCATTGTAATGTTTCCTGATAACCTACCAAATTTGCTTACTAATTTAAAAGTTATAGCATGAAGACTATAACAAGCACAAAATGGTTACGAGGTCAGTCCTAGGGACTGAATCCATGCTGAAAGAGTTAAATAACTACAATATTTATATAGAATTGAAAATGCATAATAAACTGCCTTTAAGTATTATTAATGAAATTATATTTCTCTGTGGTACTTGACAAAAAGACAAAAGACAGAGATCTATAATTATCAAGGCATTAACATATTTTAATTTAGATTACCCATATTCTCTTACTTAACCCACTTGCTACAGGTAAGTCAAAGTGTACATGTCATGACCTTTTAGACAGTTACATTCACAATATAATTAAACTACTTTATTTTCAATGTATACAAATAAACTTGGCATCAAAATGTAGTTAATATATCAAATTGTAATATTATATAATTTTATTTCTTTATTTTATTAGAAAATATTTAAATAAATCCTATATCTCCCCTAGTATTAAAATCAAGGAATTTGTTCTCTACATCTTCCCCCTTCTCTTAATTTATTTATCACCCCTCTTTGAAGTATGGAATTTAATGTAAGTTACTCATTATAATATAGGTATTACTAAGACAAAGTAATCTTTATAGCCTTCAATCTTCTTTATTTACAGACATAAATTAGAAAATCAAACCCATTTGTCATGCCCACCTCTCACCATCCTTTTTGACAAATTGCCAATAATTCCCTCTGATGTTTACTATTATATCATTTATAACCAACAGAAAGACAGAGTTTTAATCTATTAAAAGATGTATAAAGCTTCGTTATCAATACAGAGTTTTAGTTATTTCTTTTCCAGTTTGAAAGTTTCTATTGCAGATTTTAGATCAAGTAGCTAAGGTACTTATACCTTGGTTAGAAAGCAAGTAAATTACAATAGTTATAGAAAATTGTTTGTTTTGTGTGTGTTATTATTCTGTTTTCTTATGTGTTTCAATAATTACAAATGTACTACAACCACCATTACAAAAATAAATAGGCTTAAATTTCATCAGAAAAAAACGATAAAACAAGTTCAAAGGTAAGTTCTATACTTCTTGTTTTCATGTAAATATTTAAATTTATTGTTAAAAAGTAATTAAAATGTAAAAATTAGAAACATATTAGGTTAGATTAGGCAAGATAAAAAATAATAAAAATTCTTCACAAGGTATGCTCACAAGCAGCTTGTGCATTATGTCATTCAATATAGTAATGTGAACTACCCACCCAGTTATTTATATCTTTATGCAGGATTATTAGTCAGAGATGTCCAAAGGACAACAAAACAATAGAATTATGTAGAATGAGTCTTAAGCTATTTAGGATAAACAATTTTGGTTTTCAATTACAATCCGCAGTCATTCTAAAAAGAAAAAAAGTGTAATTCAGATATATTTCCTATTTTTTAAGTGATTACTAGGTCAGTCAAATTGACTAAATATGTATAGTTAGGGTAGAGAGAATAACAAATATAATATAAAGTTTTACTGAAAAAAAAGTTCAATATATATTTAGGAGGTTTTAGAGATTATCCACATGGAATTTGAAAATTTTCAGATAAAGAAAAGTATATTTAATCTTAACATGAAAATCACCTTACACATGGAGCAGTCAATGGAGAAATTTAGTAAAAAATACTTCATTAAAAATTCTGAATATTTTTCTACAAAACACTTGTAACGTTTACTGAAAGTCTGCTAAATTTCATGAAGATACACAAAACATATGAAAACTTATAGTACAGAAACTCTGATGGTTACTTCATGGCTACAACGTTGGTCAATTGGCCAGCCCCATATGAAAAGAGTTAATAAAACGTATGTCTAAAAATTCATAAACACTTCTAATATATGTAAATATACACCTGGAAAAA